AAAAAAAAAAAAAAAAAAAAAAGAAGGAGAAAGGCAGGAAGTACAAGGCAAAGGAAGAGGGAGACTGCAAGCCAGAGAAACAGGCAGGGACCCAGGCAGGAGACTAGGGCAGGCTGCTCACCAGGAGGCAGGTAGCTCTGATAAACTCGAGTCACTTGCTCAGCTAGCCCAGGCAGCTCACAGATCTTCAGTGCATGGATGAAGCACTGTACCCAGCCAACACGACGCTGGAGCTTATTGAAGAGTTCCCAGAGTGTGTCCTGGTTCCCTAGTTGCTTGTAGGAAGCCCGCAGTCGGTCCTGGAAGACAGCACAGCCACCCTACTCAGGCCAGGTGGCCTAGCCTTTTCTCTACTCAGACGAGAGCTACTGCAAAGGAGACACTAAGAAAGCCACGAGGGGCCGGGCGGTGGTGGCGCACGCCTTTAACCCCAGCACTCGGGAGGCAGAGGCAGGCGGATCTCTGTGAGTTCGAGGCCAGCCTGGTCTACATCGCGAGTTCCAGGACAGCCAGGACTGCTTCACAGAGAAAAACCTGTCTTGAAAAACCAAAAACCAACCAACCAAACAAACAAACAAAAAACAAAGAGAGCCCCAAGGGCTCTTTTGAAACTCTACTTGAAACTGGGTGAGAGGCAGAACAAGGCCAGGGTGGTAGCCCAAGTACGGAGTGAGGAGGAGCGATCAACATCAGGAAAAGGCTATGGCCAGGGCTAGGTTTGCAGTCGTTGTCCCATTAAGTGCTAAGATCATCCCCGCTTTACAGATGAGGTGGCTGAGGTTTAGGGGAAGCACACAGCAGGAGGGCTGGGACCGGCCTTGAATCAGGCAGAGAGAAGAGTGAATGAGTGGGAAAGGAAGAGGCCATCAGCAATGGGATGAAAGGGGCACAGGAGAAAAGGGAGGGGACCGAGTGGGAAGCAGGGCCCTGAGAGGACTGGGGACTCCAAAAATACGGCAGCAGCTGCAGTGTTTCTATTCACTGGATTCCCACTTGAAAATGATCAATCAGCCTGTAGTCCCAACACTAGGGAGGCTAAGGGAGGAGGATTACGGGTTCGAAACCGGACTGGGCTATAACGTAAGACCGTGTCTAAAGAAAAAAAGAGAAAGGAAGGAGGAAAGAGGAAAGGGAGGGAGAGGAGAAGAAAAGAAAAACAAGGGGCAATCCATAGGAAATATTTACTGCAAACCAGATGGCAGGGTGTCCTGATGAATGCCCAACACAAGGTGAGGCCGGTGCACTCTCTAGCCATCCAGACCTGCACTCTAACAGTATCTGCACAGGAAACAACGGCACTCCCGAGACACCCAGAAACGGGGGACCCCAACAGCACGCAGGCAAAGTTGCTGGGAGCACAGAAGCCCATGCCATCTGAGAAGAACCAAAATATAAACCACTGCTCTAGCTGGTGAGTGCGGGAGCCCACAGTAAGTCCCGGTGTGGCAAGACACTGGTGAAGTCCTTAGAACTGACACTCCAGACTCTATCCCAAGATAAGGTGCGATGGGAGAATGAATCAAAACAAGATCCAAAGACAAGCAAAGAGAAGGTTCTGAAACACAGAGAGCCAGAGCCTGGAAACCTGCTAATCTGGTGCCATGTTCTTGAGTGCAACATAGAAAACGAAGGGAGATGAACGAGGTTAGAAAAGCCACTGTGAATACGCTTGATCTCAAAGTCAGAAAATGAGGGCAGGCAGCGGCCTCAGAGGCCCGGGCCTGGGAGAAGGGCTGGGACAGGCTGACTGTGGACGGCACAGCCTTGCCCCCAATGCTCTGGCCCAGCTGTGGCGTCCCTGGCTCACCTGGTCACTGGCTGTGAGGCAGGGCAGGTAAGGCAGGATCTCCAGAACGTCAAGACAGCAAAACTTGCTGTGGTTGTCGCGGATATACTTATAGGTCTTGTCCTCAGCAAATGTCATGGCTGCTCAGCTTCTGGAGTAGACTCCGGCCCTAGGAAGGGTGGGATGGGCTGAGAGAGATGGACTGGAAGAAAGATCACACAGGGCAATTCTTTCTCAGCTTTTAGAACCTTTGCCTTTCCAACTTTCACTTCTTTCTTTCTTTTTTTTTTTTTAAAGATTTCTTTCATTAATTTTAAAAATTATGTGTATGTGCGTGGGTCTGAGTGCGGGTATGTGCATTGGGGAAGGTGCCTGGGGAGACCAGCAGAGGGCACTGGAACCCCTGGAGCTGGAATTACGGGCAGTAAGCTGCCAGACTTGGGAGCTGGGATTTGAACTCTGGTCCTCTGAACAGCAGTGCACTCTCCTAACTGCCGAGCCACCTCTCCAGGCCTAATCTTTCATTTCTTCAAACAGCCTGGGTTATTACTGACTGGATCCAGAGGCTCTCAAGAGATTTCCTTAAAAGTGAATTGATGAGCAGAGAGCCATCCATCTAGGCCCCACTTCTGCCTTTTGGGTTGAATCACTGTCTAAGGGTTTGGCACCACTTGTGCCATTAGCTGCTAAGATTGTGGGAGGTACTGGAGCCCCTCTGTCTCTAAGGAGGGACAGTACAAGAGTCACCTATAAATGCTGCTTCTTTTGGGCATACTGAAAACAAGCAAAAGGAGCTGTCCAATATGATGACAGGATAATTCTACTGTAAAGATGGAGAAAATGCAGCACCAAGAAATTGGGGGCTACTTGGAGACCAAACAACTAACGAACGGCTCTCAGATCCGATTGTTTCTGGATCATGATGCAGGCCCACCAGTTTGCCACATACACATATGAGTGAGAAAACTGAGTTCACTACGCTGACGTCACTTTATGGCTCAGGGCAAATTACCAGCCTTTCCCATAAAATAGTTTGGGGAGGGGCTGGAGAGATGGTTTAGTGGAAAAGAGAACTTACTTGAGAGCACCGATGAAGAGATGGATTAGAACAGTGCTTCTCCACCTTCCTACCGCTACAGCCCTTCCGTACAGCTCCTCGGGTTGTGGTGACCCCCAACCATATTATTTCTGTTGCTACTTCACAACTGCAATTTTGCTACTTTTATGAATCGTAATGACTGTCTGTGTTTTCTGATGGTCTTAGGCGGCCCCCGTGAAAGGGTCTTTTGGGGGGCCACTGGTTTAGATGGGTTAGTGGAAAAGAGCACTTGCTCCTTTCCCAGAGGACCTGAGTTCGAGTCCCAGCACCCACATCTGGTGGCTCAAAACTGCCTGTAATTCTAGTTCCAGGAGAATCTGACTCTCTCTTCTAGTCTGTACACACTTGGTATACACCCAGACAGACGTACACATAAATTTTTTAAAAATCTTTTTAAAATGGTTCAAAGAGCTTTGCAACACAGCTCAGGCATATACGCTTAAATTTTTTAAATATTTATTTTTCAAATTATTTATGCATATGGGTATTTTGCCTGCTTGTATATATACACATCACTTTTGAGCTTGGAGCCCATGCAGGCCAGAAGGTGACATTGTATTCCCTGGAACTGGAGTTATAGTTGTGAATGGTCATGTGGTTGCTGGGAATCAAACCCAGGTCCTGTGGAAAAGCAGTCAGTGCTCTTACCACTGAGCCATCTCTCCAACCCCAAGATTTATTTATATTTTATGTTCATGGGTGTTTTGCCTGAATGTATGTCTATGCAACATGTGCCTACAGAGATCAGCAGATGGCATCCAATCCCCTGGAACTGAGTTACAAATGGTTGTGGGTACTGGGACTCAAACCTGGATCTTCTGGAAAAGCAGCCAGTGTTCTTAACCACTGAGCCTTCTCTCCAGCCCCCTTAAGCTTAAATTTTTTAAATAAGCCACTTTTAAGTTCTTATTCATTTATTATTGTATGTATATGATGGGTATGTGAATGTGTATACACACATGTCACAAGCACACATAAGAAAATCAGAGAACAACTTTTGTGAGTTGATCCTCTTCTCCATTTGGGGTTCCAGGGCTTGAACTCGGGTCACGGGGCTTACACAGCAAGCTCTTTTACCTGCTGAGCCATTTCACCGGCCCTGAATTTAAACATTTAAAGTGTCTTAAATGCAAGCCAGCATGAATTATGCAGCACCGCACCCTGCAATTCCACATGTGTTTGTTTACTTGTCTCTTACCTGCCCTCCCCAGCAGGGCTAAGAAAGACAAGGTCTGTGCCCTCCACATCCAACCTGTGTTCTACTGGAGTGGAACTGCTCACGGATCAGTGGGCACATAGCTAGATGACAAGTCCAGAAAGTAATTCTGAGTATGAAGACAGGAAAACGAGACGATGGGACAGAACTCCAGGAGGAAATACCCTGCTTGAACTGAGGTGATCAAAGAAGGCCCTCTGACTGGGAACATCTGAGCTGATGGCTCTTCACTGCGAAAAGACTGGAGCCTTGGGAAGAAGGCAAAGCAGACGCAAGTTCTAAGATGTGTGTTTCTCTTCACACACTCCAAGTCCTCAGAGCTTGGAGTGTGTGAAGAGAAAGGAGGTGAGTGTGAAGAGGTTTGGAAAGCTAAGGGGGCAGAGGTCAAGGTCAAAGAAGGGGCTAACACGTAAGGTGTTGTGGGAAGGACTCTGGGTTTTATTTGGTGTGAAACGGGATCACTGGAAAGCGGACGCTCTGACTTGGCACTGCCGAACCCTCTGGAGGTTCCAAGGCCTTTGGGAAGCCCAGGATGGAAGGAGGGGGACAAGTCAGGAGACCAAGTGGGGGGTGATGATGGGTGTGGCCAGAATGGCCACCACAGAGGTGGGGGAAAGAATCAAACACTGTTTCTTGGGAGCTGGGACAAGGAAGGTGCCATTTCCTACTCTAGGGAAGTCAGGGAAGAGCCATGGAAGGACGGCACCTCAGACCTCCATTTTGACAGCTTTAGCATGCTGTTGGAGTCCAAGAGGACTGTTCGAAAGAGAAGAAGGAAGGAGGGGAAGACGGAAGCAAGGACTCTTTATTGAACATGAGGCCTCTGGGAGACAGCGGAGCTGCTGCAGGTGCAGGCCCCTGCCACATGGGAGATGAAGTACCCGTTCTGCCTAGTGACCTCAGCCCCATGTTTCCACCTTCAGGCTAACTACCAAAAGCGACATTCCTACAAAGAGCTGTAGTTGGAAGGTCAGGAGATCAGGGAGGCAAGACTAGGGCCTTCAGGAGATGAAAACGAATAGCTCTGTGGAGGACAGACAGGCTGATGAAACCCTTCCCCCTCCTTCCCCAGGTCACCTAGAAAGATACGATAAGCCAATCAAAGCAGCAATTTCTGCAGTCCAGCCACAACAGTGAATGCACAGAAGGGCAGCATGGAGCCCCACCAAAAGCAGAGGAAGCTCACATTTGTTCATTTCTTGAAGGGTCACTGCTACCAGGGGCAGCCCATGGTCCTTTGAGACAATCACAAGTGAGAAGGAAGTGATACTGTGCTGCACAGCTGACCGTGTGGGACTTGAACCCAGACTTTTTGCCGTGGACTAAGAGAGTATGGAAGCCCCAGCAGCAGGAGAGCCACAAAGTCCGTCTTTATGCCAAGGTCACTCAATGCCTGGGGACGGGACTTGAGGATGAGAAGATTCGGCAGTTAGGCTCTTTGAAACGTAAAATTCTCCCAGACACAGCTGGCGTTAATGCTGCCCTCACTGACATTCACTTGAGTTCTGAGACCAAGGCCAAATGCCCTTCAAGTTTCTGAAGCTTCGCAGTATCCAAAGAAGATTTGTTTTGGTTTTTTTTTTTTTTTTTTTGCTTTCCTGTGTTTTCATCCTTTTCCTAAAACTTCGTTACCATCTCAGAGAAAAGGAGATGGCAGGGGTGTCCTGGACACAGCAAAGCTTCCGACCTGGCCCCCATGGAGCTTCTGACCGAGTCACGGAAAGAAATACCCACACTCCCGAGGGACAGGTCTCCTGGCCTCAAACTAGATTCCTGGCGGGACCCAGATCTCCAAGTGCAGGGAGGCTGTTTTGAACAGGTGTGACTGTCTACAACTTTCCAGACCCGGGATCAGGCCGTAAGTCCGGACTGGCAGGCCTAATCCCTGGCACAACTGCCACAGGTCGTTGAGCGCGGCCGTGCCTCGCTCGAGTCACCAGGGCCAGGGAGAGGCAGGAGGCACTCCAAGGTTCTTCCTGTCCAGCCTGGGCAAACGCTCTGCACCACCTACCTGCTCACTAAGGGTGCTGGATGCGGCTCGAGGAACTCCCAGGGTCCCGAATCCCTGTGGGGCGGGCCGCGCTCTCCCATAATCCCGTTCCGGAGCCTCCCGGACCCCGCGTGCCCAAGCCCGGGGCGCTCCTGCGGGCTCCGAGCCAAGGCCCCCCCCTCCTTGAAGGGCGTTGCTGAGCACTGAGCCCTGAGAACCCACTCCCCGGCTGCAAACTTACCGAGAGAAAACCCGACTAGGCAACAGGTTGACCCGCATGCAACCCTGCAGAACCCTCCCAGAAGAAGAGGGCGGGGCGGGGCGGGGCGAGCCGCGCGGCCATTGGCCAGGGCCTAGGGAGGAGCGAGGGAGGGGTGGGGCCGGAAGCTCGGCCTTTGGCTGAGCAGGGCCTGGACGGGATGGGTAGGAAGCGTTGCTGTTGGCTGGGCAGGAAGGGGCTGGGCCAAGCAGGGCCAAGCCGGTCGTGGGGCCCTTGGATGAGCCCCGAGTTTCCCCGAGCCTCTGGTCTAGGTGCAAGTGCTTCGTAGGCCTTGCCTGGGGACCGTTCAGGTTCCCTGTAGAGGCGTGAAGGGAGCAGATCATTCTCTCCCTGCTTGGTCTAGAGCAATTTCCAGGGGAAGTCCAGAAGCCCAGAAAACTGGCGTTCTTGGATTCTGTCCCACGCTCCTCAAGCAAAGCAGCTCTTCTAGCACTGGAGGAGAGTCTCCATCCAGTACTTGGCACGCAGTACTCCATAAAGATGAGGTGTCACGCAGATGTCACAGGGGTGTGAGTGCCTAGCCAGGCGACCTGAGTGGGGACCGTGGGAATATGATACAGCAGGACTCTGAGATATGCACCCATGCCTGGCGGCTTACAACCGCTTGTAACTCCAGCACCAGGGTGACCCAGCACCTTTGACCTCTACTGGCACCTGTACTCAGTGTACACATACCCAGGTAATTAAAACCAAGGTTAAAATATTTTTAAAGCTACATCCACTAGAAAAGGTTATAGTGACTTTATTCATAATAAGCAAATTATGAAACCAATTCAAATGTCCATCAATAAAATGAGTGGGCGGACTGTGAGTAGTGCACAGCCGTCAAAGGTCACAACTTCTTGATGCACGTAGCAGGGATAAGATCTCACCACAGTGGGATTGGTGGCATGGCTAAATGGTGCTCAGCTAACAGAGACAAAATAATGCATGCTTTGTGCTTCCGGTCACGTTCCAACAAGAAGTAAAAACTAATGTACTGTAGTGGTATTTGCTGTGAAGGAGCAGGTGCTTCTGGCCCTTGTACATGACCTCTTACAGGGAAAGAGAGCGTGGTCACGTGGTCTCTTCTTCCTTTCATTTACTTATTTATTTTTTATCCTGGCATGACTGAACTCCAGACGACCTGGGAATTGAACCTGGTTCCTCTGGAACATCAGTCAGCGCTCTTAACCACTGAGCCACCTCTCTCCTTCTCTAAACCCAAGCATGTTGCTAAAAGAAAAATTAGGAAATTCTGTCTCATATCAGAAGAGCCGACTGGTATGAGACAGAAGAAAACCAACAATAATCTAGGGACCAGTGCTGTCAAGATTCTATTTCTTTCCATGCTTATCCTTGATTTCTGGGAATCCTTCCTCGAATGTCATGTCATCCTAAAATCCAAACTTTCCATTTTGATATTAATAATGTTCAAGTTTTCCACAGTGAAAAATAAGTCTTTCCAATAGCAATCTCTGAAGTCTCCAGAAGGAAGATGGGGCCCCACAATAACAACTCTACTTGGTCCAGAAAGATGCCATTGTACCTAAGAACATTACTCAATGGTCAGCCTTGGATAATTTTCACTGATATGGATTCTTGTATATTGATACAAATGTAAACTATTCTTATATTCCTATTTAAGATAATTTGTATATTGATACAAATACAAAATTATATTTGTTGTATTGTACATACAGTTCTACTCCTGTTGAAATATTTTGTATATTGATACAAATGTAAACTTATATTGTCATACTATATGTATGTTCTACCTTTATTTAGAATATTTTGTATATTGATACATATTGAGGATATTGTTGTCATATTGCATATTGCATTATACATTCCTACCTCTGTTTAAGATATTTTGTGTACTGTCACAGTTTTGAGGTCATTGTCCTTATACAGTATATCTCCTTACAGACTGTTTATTTTGTTAATGTGAAGCCTTGATCCTTGTTATTTTAGTAGAGAAAACTTACTGAGCTATAGTCACTCATGCTTGTCATTTCTATAGTTATATTAGTTAGGTTCTCCAGATTTACAGAAACTTATTCAGATGGACAGGTAATCTTCAAATACTTCATAGACCTAGAGAATATAACATTTAAATGTTTTGATAACTTAGAATTCTGTTGACATGAGACATGATTGCTCCTGGCAGCACCGATCTGATCCTGAGAGAATGTTGGGCTTCTAAGATATTTCCATTTGGAAGTTTGTCTTCTTCTCGGCACAAAATGGCCTGCTGGGCAAAGAACTGCCCTTGCCTCGACTGCTGACAGTACCAATGCTGTCCTTTCTGAACGAGCAGGACACAAGGAAAAGTGACTGTTGAACTCTGCCAAGACAGGGTAAGATGGTCTTTCAAGATTCCTGCTTCTGAAAGTCGTCTGTCAGATAGTCTAGGCCTGTAGCCAAATTGGATGCCCCAGTGATGCTGAGAAACTTTGGATGACTGTCCAGGCTGCCAGCTTTCTCTGTCTATTCTCGAAAGATTTTCGGAAATTGCTTGCTTGCACTTTCCATTTTTTCAGATATTCTTATGTTCCTTCTCAGGTCTTTGGTGGAGTTGAAGACCAGATAGTTACAGTTACAGTCTTCTCGTATCTTAACTAGAACATATTAAGTACTAGAATTAGAATCTTCAGGATAGGACATCTATTGGAATAATCTCAGTAATTTGCCATTTACCTATGATCTGGACATTTCTGGACATTTAGCATGTCTTTCTTATTTGATGTTATTCTTGTTGGTTGTAGTTCCATTTTTGTTTATGTTATTACCCTTTGTTTTTCCTGGACAATACTTGATAATCATTCTTATTGTATATAGTTTGCATTAAGTTTAGAACCTTCTTATTTAGATAAAAAGGGGAAATGTAGTGGTGTTTGCTCTGTCCATGAGTTTGGGCTATAGGGCTCGAAGGAGGTGGCGCTTCTTGCCATTGTATGTGACCTCTTAAATGTACTGAAGAAGAAATCATATTAGTTACCTCGGCATGCCTAGAGGGTAGAAATACCCTACAGCTGGTTGCAGGTGGTGAGTACAAGCTTGAACATCTATAAGAGTGTGTCAACAGGAGCTGGAGAGCTGGCTCAGCAGGCAAAGGCACTTGCTGCCAAGCTTGATGATCTGAGTGTGATCCCTGTAATCTGCATGAAGGAAGGAGGACCGATTCCCAAAAGCATTGGCAGCTCCTCCCCCCTCCCCCTGCCAATAAATGGGAAACATGAAAAAATTTGAAAAATGCATCAATTTTTTTTTCTTTTTTTGGTTTTTTGAGACAGGGTTTCTTTGTGTAGTTTTGGTGCCTGTTCTGGATCTTGCTCTATAGACCAGGCTGGCCTCGAACTCACAGAGATCCACCTGGCTCTGCCTCCCAAGTGCTGGGATTAGAGGCGTGGCCGCCGCAGCCACCACCACCCGGCTCCTCAATGACGTTCTTAATGTTACACTTTCCTATCTAGCACAATCTTTAAAGAGAAGCCTAAGGGATTCTGTGGAGATCACTGAAGTTAGAGCCGCTGCCAAACAGAATTAGTTATGTGACAAAAATTCTGGAACTCTGAGATTTATTACTGTTTATCTTAGTTAAGGTTCCTATTGCTATCACAAGACACTGCAACACGGCAATTTAATTGAGGACTGGCTTACGGTTCAGAGGTTTAGTCCGTTATCCTTGTGGCAGGAAGCATGGTGGTGTGCCGTCAGACATGGTGCTGGCGAGAGGCTGAGAATTCTTTCTACATCTGGATCCTCAGGCAGCAGGAAGGGAAAGAGAGCCACTGGGCCTAGGTTGAGCTTCTGAAACCCAAGTCCACCCCTGGTGATACACTTCCTCCAACAAGGCCACACCTCCTAATAGTGCCCCTCCCTCTGAGCCTGTGGGGACCATTTTCATTCAGATCACCACACTGTTCTTGGTAGCTGTGTAGATAGTTCACAACTTCCAGCATGTGCAAATCACACCTAAGTCTGGTCCCTGGGACCAACATGGTGGAAGAACTCCTGATAGCTGTCTTCTGGTCTCCACATCTGTCCCCTTGACTACAAAACAAATTAGAAAATGTAAAAAGCAGCTGCACACCTCTAATCGGGAGGTAGAGGCAGGCAGATCTCTGTGAGTTCGAGGCCAGCCTGGTTTACAGAGCGAGTTCCAGGATAGGCTACAGATTTTTAAAAGGTGAGTATTGGTGATTTAGTCTTGCTGCAAACAACTATGACTTCTTACTTAATTCTTGTAAAAAAGAGCCTGAGGCCTATAAAGACTCTCTTCTAAAGTGGTTATAGATTGCCCTGTCCTTGCTGGACTTCAAAGGGCACCAAAACAATCCAGCTTCCTGGCCTGCCTCGTTCCCAATCACCTGTCAACAGCTCTTAAAAATCTAGAAAAGGGACAATGTCATGCCTCTGGCATTCTGAGCCCCACTGGCCACATTTCAAAGGTGAAATCCATCTGGGTATTGCCCATTGAGGTACAGAACATTTCTATCTTAGAAAATTCTACTAGATAGCACTGGTCTGCAGAATAACTTCAAAAATGTTAAGGTGATGTGATACAGCCTATGACCCCAGCACTTAGGAGGTTGAGGTAGAGGCGAGAACATCAGAAGTTGGAAGTCAGCCTGGCTGCAGAGTAAAAGACCTTGTCTCAAAAAAGAGGGGGGTGGGGGAAGAAGAACATCAAGGTCATGAAAGTTAGGGAAGATCAGAGAACTATTCCAGACTAAAGGAGACCAGAGTGGTATGATACCTGAATGCAAAGTGCCATCCTAGGCCAGGTCCCCAAAGACACAGGAAAGGACACTAGTGGGACAAAGGTGAGATCTGAACTGAGCTTTTGGACAGTTAACGGCTCCATCGTGTTACTGTTCTGTTCTGACT